GTTGATGCCGAAGTCTGGTGCGTAAGAACCGGCACTCCTGTTAATATCAACATGCACAATAGCCCGCGGACACACACACTAACCTTTGGGGCCCAATTAGATGTTGGATGAATCTTTATGTTAGGCTTTCTGTCCGTAAACACGATGACATGTAAGGCATTTAGGGCATTAGGAATCGGACGCGGGTAGGTACATCGTCAATGGTCAGCTGCAGCTTAAGCCACTTTACTCGCTTCGCTTGGCATTAGTGAGTGAGCTCGTTAACAAGCAACAGCGCTAATTAGGGCGGCTTGAGGACAGCTTCCTGTTGTCTTTTCATAGACTCGTTTGGCCCTGTTAATTACAGTATACCTATGTACGTATAATAGTAGATTGAACTACATAAGTGTATTTCAGATCATCACAATAACATTTTATTTATTGCATTTATAGAAGGCTTGAAATATACTACCATGCCCTATCTGAAAAGCAGTGTGAATCCACGATAACTGATCAGCATAGAAGTTCCTTTGTGTTATCATTTTTAGCTGGGACTCTGCCATTCTCTCTTTACCGACACGGGCTCCTACGCGACCGTAATGTCTTTTGGTGAACGTTATGTAAGCCACTTGTAGAATCAATGTATAGTCATAAATAAAAAAGTGTAATTACATACGTACATATCTGTAATTACACTTTTTTTTTACGTACATACCTAGAAGTTCGGAGTCTAACGGGGGCCTCTAAATCTGGATACTTGAATTTTGATAAGTTAGATTCTAAACATCTAGTTTTTCAATTGTTTTTTTTTTGTAACGCTTTTTGTTATTTTTATGTGAATAGGTTTTTGGAATTACTGGTTTGCCATAGAACTCAGGACTTTTCCTTACCTAGTCTTATTGGGTTTTGTTCGACTTAGCTAAAGTTGCTCTAAAAGACCCACAAAACGACATGGTAACCACTTACCAACACTAAGATTTACTATTATTATTATTATTAGCGGTCCGCATGATCATAATTACAATGGCAATGCTCCCACAGATACACCCGAATTATGTCGCCTACTAGATCCTTTAGTTTAGTGAAAATGAAATATTATTGGGGAAACCCCAAAAAAAATAATTTTTGCTTACAGTCTCGACCGATTCCCGTGCCTGATTCAATATGCTCGAATCGCATTAAACATCTATTCATGTGAGTCCTTTTAGCGCAAGCTTTGCTTGGATTCTAGATAAGCTTCATGGATCACAATAAAAAAAAAGTCAACTAATTAACCTAAGCTAATTAGATACCCAAAGTTAAATTTCTACGATTCAGGAAGGCCTGAGCAAAAGTTGTTTCTTAAGGAAGGATAAGGAAAAAGGAGTGATATACAAAAGCAAACCTATAATGTGACTGAGATGTTTATGTAGCTCTTACTTGCGAAAAAGAGTTGAAATATATCCACAAAACATTGTACCTATCTTTTTAATAATGCTCCTTAAAGTAAATCTAGACTTAAGGTAAACCCAGCTGTGGCTCAGGTACATTTGAGCTCTTAAGCTATGTTCCAGTAGTTTTTATAACTTTATTAATCTCAAAAACGTCCGGGTAGGCATTTACACATTTGGCACCCCTAGTCTTAGAACCGGGAAATTAGATAGTTGCCTACTAGAAAAAAACCTCCTTCCTGAAAAAAAAGATGAGCCTTCCTTGGATATCCTTGTATTCCACATTTATGTATTACGTGTTATGAATACACATTTCATCGTACTAGTTTAAAATCTTTCGTTCCTTATGGTGTCATTCCAGTTAGGTTGAATTGAAAATTGCTGTTCTGAAACGAAATAGATATTACCTTTTTTTAGCAAAGATGATATTTTCATTGTTCATTCATAAACGCATATCGATAATCTGTGAAAATGAATTTGCTTGCTTAAACTCGGTTGTACGGCCATAGTTAATAGACAGTAATTCAACAAGATTTTGAACGTGGAATTGTTGTAGTCTGGTTGCTGTGAGTACGTAGAAGCCTTGTTTCCCAAAACAGAAACAACGTAAATTGACATTTATGGATATAGGGGTGTCAGTTCGATATAGTAACGATGACCGCAAGCTTTCAGTCATTAAGTAATTCCTTTCTGATGTTATCAACGAAGGTATATTCCTCTGATAAAAGCCCGATTCTATATTCTTCAACATTTGCGGCAAAAATGCAAGTTTTGGCTTATAGTAGTCAGTCGGAAATCCAAAAAGCATATCCTCCTGATTCTTTTTTCATTAGGCATCAGTCAGAATGAGATGCCTTTTTTAAAGGACGTACTCAATGGTTATGTTTTTCTAAGTTGTGCGCAGTGACGATCACATTATCAAAATAGATACATACATCAATGAGATCGTTTATGATTGCATCTATGATTCGTTGAACTAAAACTTTCATGACAAACAGTAGTCTGTTAAACTAGTAAATTTATTTAGATGTATTATAAAGTTGCAAGTAGTCTTTCTGAAGAGGGGCTGTGAAAAATACTGCCCCCGTTCAACGGACGAAGATGTCTTTGAACGTCGGAAGTGGGTAGTTCTTGTTTTTAATAGCAACGTTAAGTTTCGTACCGCATTTTGTACACAAGCTCAGCTCACCGGCTTGTTCTAAAATTAAAATAGGTATCTCTTAGTCTAGATATCTGATTTCTGCTAAGGCATTCTTTTTAACACGCTTTTTGAGTTTAGTTTCGAAGAAAAGCAGCATAGTAAAAGCCACTGGCCTCATGGCGTCTGCTCAAGATATTAGCAATGTTATTGAGAAGCAGAATAAGTATTATCAGCCGTTCTGTCGGTTTCTTTGATGTACCATGCGCCTTAAATCTGGCGTGTGACGTTTAACAAAACTTGTCGGTTACACTGGTTGACTGTCGGTTGACTGGTGCCAGAAAAATATTGCTGAACTCCAGCATATAATATTAGCGATGAAGCCAAAAATCGAAGAGTGCTACCGTCTTCAGATCATTAAATTGCGGGATCTATTTGTTAGGTTCGCTGTCGTTTGGCCTAATTGTTTTCCCATCGCCAATTGCGCTATGCCGTATTCTAGGCCCCTACGTCAATATCTGCTCCCACCACAGTCGCGGACAGCAATTCTCTAGTGATTACCCGAATTCCCGACTTTTCACTGCTAGTCAAAAGACGAGCTTTAAAATCTTTCCGTCCGTCACGAGCTGAGAGCTGTTGTGCCCTCTAATGGGTTTACACCACTTAATCATGAAAAGGTATTCAACGATCGTAAAATCCATGAGTGTGATTAAGTCAAGAAGGATCAAAAATTCATCCGAACCCTATCACTCTTTCATGTCCTCGAGAACGTCTCAAACGAAAGGCTCGACAAATTCTAAGCGGGTTTTTTTCAAAACAAGCGTACTAAAATCACTTTGGTTAGCCATAATGCATATATAACTTTCATCCAATGCGTTGGTTAGACACCACTCAGAAGGCTATACTTCGAGCTCCATGCTTGTTACATCCACTCCCTTACAGCTGAAACAACATTGATGTCGTTTACTTATGTCATCTGAATGGTGACAGATATGAAGTAATCAAACAACATTTTGTGCGTATCTACAGAAATATTTCTTATGGCTTTTCGTATCAAGATTTTGCATTTCTTAACTTAAACAGTCATTTACAAAATTTCCTCTGCTAGTGTACTTTTATAGTAATAGTATAAATATATATAACCAGCCACGGCGAAGGATTCGCTCAAACACGTAGTATATATATATATATATATATATCTAGTTTTCACCTTCATGCGTTGGTTTTTCGTATCATCAAAACGTGGTTGAGTTCAACACAGCGTTAATCTGTAAATTTGTTATAGTTCACGTACTTTATAGCACTTTTTCTATTACACTACGCATATTGTTTCACACTTTTTAGGGCATGACTACAGGTCACACATTTAGTTTTAGGCAAATTAGAAACATTTTTCGAGTAACAAAATAAGCTGTTTCCTCTCCAATTGACTCGTGCATTGAAGGTAGAGATATTCTCATCGGAGAAGACTCAAAAAGTGTCGGATGATTCTATTTTACCTCAAAGATCAGTGCAGTTAAAGCTAACCTTTAAAAAAGGAAATAATAGCATTAAAAATAAAGTTTTGCGTTGTTCTGATGGGTAGATCTTTTGTTACCTTTTTGTTGTGAACATTTACTGTTGACATATATACATATATATATATATAAAAGATAAAAAATAATAAAAGAAATTTTTGGTCTTGCTTTAGAAAGAAGTGCTAAAGAATAAAAAGCAAAAACCCATGTCGTATATAAAGCTCTTTTTGTTATCTAATATTTCGTTGGTAGGTTTCGAGGTGGTTCACGCCTCATCGTTAGGTCGGTGCAAAAACAGATGGGCACGTGAGAATCAAAGAATTCTTGGGCCAAGTCGAAAGGAACACCAAGCCATTGTGGATAGCAAGAGCCCGTGCTAAAACCGCAATCATGTTCTACCACCTCGGGAAGACAAGTAAACATTTAGGCATTCGGAAAACTGCTTAGCGGACACGAAACTGCTTCTACATTGGCCATGGCAAGGATCTTTAAGTCGGAAAAAGAGTAGCTCAATGAAATTCTAAGAGGGAAAGTGCGCATGCTCGCCCTATTCAAAGGAAGCTACAGTTCAGTACATATACATAGACAAACGCTGTTTACTCTAAACGAACCTCTATTTTATACGGCGAGGTCTAGGATTATTGCTGCGAGCCGTAATACTCGGCGCTACCTACGTACGTATCTCAACATTTGGCCTAAAGCCGTTCGCTCTCTTAATTAGTTCTTCTGTAGGCACTCGGGGATTTCCAATTGATAGTCTTTCAGGGTTTACTGTAACGAGATTATGCGACGATTTCTAACATTAACGACCCCTCGTTGCAACTTGGCGCTGCCCGTTCAACTTGCTTGACGGTAACCTTTTGAAAACGCGTTAACTCTGACGCACACCGACGGTTTCTCTGCTGGCTCCTAAGAGTAGCTTTGGGTTGCTTTCAGGGTCGGCAAAGCCGTGGTTCGGGATAATGAGGCGGCAGCCGTCGTTTGAGGTAGTCCTTGCGGTACAGGCACAGTTCAAAACGAAGCTGTTTGAAAAAATTTCAGAAGAAGTGGCGCCCAGTTCATCAAAGTCCAGTGTCTGCAAAAGACGACAGGAAAGGTTTGTATATCCTGATTTACAAAAAAAAGGCTTCTTGATGGATCGATTGGAGCTACCGTACGTCTTTGAAGCCTTCCTGAGATACGTCAAAGAAGCGGGCGAAAATAATAGTTTCGTCAACTATCTTGCCTGGGCTGTTCTGGCAGATTTTCAAGGTTTTCTGGTGAGTATCGAAACCTGCAAACGTCAAGCGCGAATAAATTTGAGTCTGCGGATGGTAGCGAACGCGGGACGCTGGATAGGCCTGACCAACGTCTAGCAACCGGATGCAGATTCTTTACCCGTGGGGAGCAGGTTTATGCTAAAGATCAATACCCGAATCTAGGCATCGTCTTCGCGTAAGTTGCATAGAAGGAATCGACGATGATTCTATTGCAACAACAATTGTATTGACCATCAGAGTGATAAGATACCTAAGACTGAACAAGTAGGACGATGAGTATTCCTCTGAACATTCATGAGTTTACGATGAGCGCGTAGAGAGAACTCAGATCTTTCTGCTGGCCGGAGAGCGGTATTAAGGTGTGCCGACCAGCTGCTCGTCGCCTTTAGGATTTGTTTCTTGGTGTCTCTTAAAATCCTTTAGAGTTAAACGAATCGTTTCTTTTCGATAGCTAACGTAAACTTAAGTTTACTCGTTTGTATATTCAACCGCTTAGCTGTTCATCCCATTTCAATTTGACGCTGCGCTAACTGTAGACTACGAGTGTCGTATGCAAGGAAAATTACATTTTCCGAAGATGGCGGTTGGAGCGCTAAAACATACGTTCAGTTCTTTGAAATCTTATTTTTCGCAAATGATCCAATGATTTGAATTAACTGGAGTTTTACAACTATGTTTATCGTGCAATTAATTGAATGCATCCACTAATTTCTTAATAGTCAGGCTAAAATAGCTAAAATAAATTATAACCTAAGTTTTAGGTAAGTAGTTGTAGGGTAGATAGAAAAACTGATTCGTTCGGCAGGCATCGCTTTATAAAAGTGCAACATTCACGAAGTGTAGTTAGATATTATCACCTCATGTACATACAGTGATTAAGCCAACTGAAGGGTTCAACCTAAGCCAAACCACATACATCATTTTGGTGGCAGCAGTGGCATGGCTGGTGACATGGTTGAAATTGCAAAAGACATGCTCGAACGGCTGACTGATCGTGATGTCCCCTAGTAGTGTTTAATGAGAGGAAGGCCAAACAGTGAACGAAGTATGAGCGGTTTGCGAAAAAATGGAAATGGACACCCTACCGAGTGGCGAGGCTTACGTGTGGATATTTGCAAGGAATTATCCGCTCTAAAAGCTGGTGCAGACGAGATGCAGAAAAGCTTCGGAAAGAAGTTATGTAAATTCTTCAACCGGAAGAGGCCAGTTCGCCAAAATCGTTCTTTCGTTGCTGCAAGTAAGCTGGCGAAACGTTCAGCAAATCAGAATTTGCCATACAATTTATTTTATTTTTTTAATTTTATATCTCGACTAGCGTAAAATTAAAATAAAAAAAGTACTGTTTTTTGGAGGTAAGATCAGCCCCTTTCTCTAATTTTTTTCATTGCGACGAGGATAAGATGTGTTACTATGTTAGTGCAGGTGATGCGAGATTACATGCTGGAGGAGTCTGGACTTCCTAATAGGAGCATCGCAAGCGAATTAGGTCTGCGCTATATGGGTACTCTGAGGCTCGACGACGGCAGTGCAGCCCGAATCACTGATCAGCTTCCCAATTTGCCCACCACGACATTCTATAGTAATGCTGATTTCGCACCGCATCAATTCAATCGGCAAGCATCATTAGTGTATTGTGAGAAAATAGGAAGAAGGACGTTTTCTTGCTCAAGTAGGCTTCAATTCAAGCCTCGTCTACTCATTCTCAAACCAGTGCTTCTTTAATTTACAAATAATCTTTTAATTTTAACGTGTGTCAAGGAGTATTGGTACGTGTAAGCTTAATAAAATATCGGTCAAATATGCAATGTACATAAGATTTCAAAAGCATTACGTTTTAGGCTGATAGCAGGCTAGAAATCTCAAAAATGCAAAGGTTCAAAACAACCAAAGGTGTAAGAAACTCAAGAAACCTAGTCTCTGGAGTATGTGAACCACCCAAGTGGCAAATGATATTCTTCTTTCTAAGGTCGTTATTTTATGTATTGAACGTAGTTTTTGAGCCTGGTTTTGGATTAATTTTAATTTAGATTTTACTAAGAATCTTACACTCTAATTACTCAGAACTATTCATTCAAACGATTACGAAATTCGCTTCGTTTCACCCATGGCCAACGCCACCCGGCAATATTCGCCATTTCGGGACAGCCCCGTTTCAAGTTTTGTGCGAAGTTAACGTATTATATCGTTGTGTTACTTCGAAATTTATGAACCACTTTGGCAAATATCTTGAACAAATGAACTGAGCTATTGTTGCGGACGTCATGCTTAAACCGAATGCCTCTGAGAAAAAGTTGCGGCAACGATGCCTTTAACACTCATGCACCTTGGGCATTACCCGGGAAAAATTTTTGTCTGTTGCGATTTCGGGAGCTCTTGCTGGATAAAAATATCCGCCCGCCTTGTATGAACGCATGCATGTCAGTGGCTATTACATGCTGTAATCACAAAAGAGGTTGTAAGCTCGAGGCCGGATTTCCTTGTGCTCTTTCAATAATATTTACATAATCGAAGCATTATCTGCCATGCTTTATTTAGCTTAGCACTACCGGGTTTTCGTTAAATTTTGTGTTAAAAATTGCGGCACGATACTGTGTAGTGATCAAATTGAGAATTGGCTACATTAAATACCATATTTTTCGACTTCCCTGGATAGTTTGATGATGCTTAGCTTGAAACAAACCATAGAAAAGCTGAAAGTATTAGCTCTAACAATAAAAGATATGGTTCAAAAAGGAAAACCGCAATGTTCAATTTTTTATATGGACTCGCTAATTTTCGGAGCATATATATATGCTATATATATAAATATATTTATATTATTGTCATTTATATTGTAGGTTATCACATTTCACGTCAGGTGACCATTGATCGGTGCAATCGGGTGGGCGTATGCTTTTCAGTTTGATTTTCGGACTTCAGTAGTGTTTTTCCGACTATTTAAATTTTTACGAAGTATTCGTCACTATTCTTCACCACAACCATCAAGTTAAGAAGGATTGCAACTAGGCAGCATAAATATTTGCGCAAGATACAATGAGTGTACGCATATCAATGTGATGAATTTTGTTTGAAGTTAAAGTGGGAATACACGTGATTTATGAAGTTAAAGAGAAAAATGACTTTGCAGGTGAAAGTTAATCAATACTATCAGAATAATCAATAGAACAATTTCCATAAACTGTTTTGTTCCAACATACATAGATTTCCAATCGTTCAATAAAGTTTTGGAATATAAAGCAGCCGGTTTTACGACATTCCTGCTTCTCGAGTGTTAGAGCTCGAAGGGAAAGTGTTTGAAAATTGATGTATGTAGCACCGGTGACTGTCGATGACAGCGGAAAACTTGGCCTCTGCGAGAAACCCCCAGACGACTCGATCCCTCGTCCGTCACAAAACAACTCTGGTAGTGGGCGACAGCATTGTGGAGCCCCCTGGCCCAGTATTGTAAGAAAGGTTCTTCCTAAAAAAGCGCCAACGGCTATTCGCGTGGGGTCAAAAACGGTTATCGACAGTATTGTACGTGACGCAAATGGGTATATCGAGATGACGGACTAGTTGCGGTATTTCCATAGGCTGGTTATCACAAATGCGTGGAATTTGAAAAAGACATACCGGCAAAGCGTAGAATCTTTCGAGAAAAATAATTACTTCACGATGCGGGTTACAGCTGCACAGAATATTCTTTCCCCTGTTCGATCAGAATCGTAAAGCGCCAATTAGCATAACTGTGAAGAAAACGGCTGAAGAAAATGCCAATTGTTGGCTTTTTCCCTCTTTATAGACTGGGCGATATAGCGGAAGTCTAGAATATCTGGGAAGATCACCTACTACATTGCCAGGAGGATGGAGCTTTTAACAAGAAAATCTTAACAACAGGGACGGCCAAATTCACACGGTGTTCAGTGCTGGGCCAACAATGATCACAGTACGAGAAGCCTTAAACAGCAAACATAGTAATTTCAACCGAACTTTTAGAGCCAAGCGTTTTGCTACCCGAACTAGCTGTATAAGTAAAAGCCGTCACCAATATCAGCCGCCATCAAGAAATCACCGATAGAAAACAAAGCACCACATCGGGCTGACAGGTTTAATCTGTTCCACAATCGAGGACCTCGTACCGTAGTTCCTGGCAGCATTGATAACTGGAAGTACAGCCCCAATACATGGCACCTCCTAGCATCGTAACCTTTTGCAAGGATGACAACGGTGTGCAGCGAGGCTGTTTTTTCAAAACGACGCTAACAATTGGTTAGTTGAGCAGGAAGGGCACAGCAGCTTCGGCGGTTCTCGACTCGGAAACCTTGGATAGCTTAAACATCCTCGTGCTAACTGATACTTGAATAACTAGTCCATTTATCATGCCGCGTTTCTACTCTGTGTATTGCCCTAAATTGAGGACCAGCGAGCATACCGCCCTACCGCAAGCATTTTAGTGTTCTACAATCTTAGGATGGGCGACCTTACCATGCTTAATAAAGCATAATATTATTGCTTGTAAGTAAAGCTTGCAGCAACTTATATTCGTCAGACTGATTTGAAACGTAGCGGTGGAAAAACTCGTCAGTGTCTTGGAGCGATATCCTCTCATTTTACTTGTCGCGTAGGGATGCGCTCTATGTCTCATGCTGTCTGAAATAGGTGTCCCCAAACGCGCTAAGCCTTTTCATTACAGTTCTACAGGAGAATTTCCATGCAGACATACAGACTTTTGATACGGACAACTGTTGAAGGACTCAAATAGGAAGGCCGAGGAAGTCTAGCCAAATTGTTTTGCACGCAAACGGTTTAATGATATACAACAGGTCGAATAAATGGTGCAGCAGGCTCCAGACTGGATTTATTCGGCAGTTACAAAGTTAGGACAGATTGTCTACCTGATAAACACGGATAAAGTTCAGAAAAGTATGCAAAACGACGGTCTTTGAAACATTGTACCTCGACGAATCACTTCTTGTTTACATTAACGGCGCTTTGTACTGAAAGCGACGTATCTCCATCAGCGGAAGAAGTTCCGTCGCATACATTTCGAAAAAATAGCGCTAGGCAGTCTCGGACGTATGACCGACCAAATCGTTTCACCGCTTGTCTTTCGCAACCGCTTGCAGCTTGTTCAGCTCAAAATAACTCAGAAAAGGGCGATTATGAGCCTGACAATAGGCACAGATGGTGCAGATACGGATGAAATTGTCATAGATATTTTGTTGCTTATTGCTCTTGGTACTATCTTTAGGATGTCTGGCCAATTACTCAAAGTTGTCTAAACTTTCGTTTGAGTAACTTTCGTTTGAGTAATCCACATGATGCAAAGTGTTTTAATGGTTTTATAGTCACTCTGATTACATTTAGAACTGATAGCAAATCACAACCCGTAAGAATGTAAATGATCAGAATGTATAACAAGACCCCAAAAAGTTTCTAAAAAAACTAACCGCTGGAATTTATCTGATCCCCGATCAGCAAAAGATGCCTCAAACTGATAGTGTATTTTTTTTATTTACCAATTTTTGTATTATAAACGCAGGGTTATCATAAATGGCTTCTTGTGCTATTATAATAAATTTGTCATACAATCAGTATTTTCGTTTAAGCCCTATTTCGGATCTTCCAATTTGTGTTAATCGAATTTTCTGCGGCTTCTTCGAGAGCCGGGTGGCAATTGACAATAACGTAGATAATCGATTTCAGACAAAAGAGGACATCTTTATTCTTGGTAAGTTGTCCCGCGCGAAAAGATTGGACAATAGCTGATTTTTGCTTGAATTCCGATATTAATTGTAAGTTTACTCTTTCGTTCTTGAAACAGGACTCCGTCGTATAACAGTAGTATTTTCGGATAAACGCATTTTTAAAACCGAGTACGAAACAGAAACGACTAATCGAAAAAAGTCTGTTTAGGCGGTCATTGTTGCTCTTAACGATTGCTCTTCGTAGTGACCTCATAATGTTAATGCGAAATGTGATTTGACACATACATGATCATGTAAAAACCTAATTATCAATCCTTATTTTCCCTCAAGTCCTACTGCATAAATATATGGGAGGCGAGCTGTTACTCTGGAATTAAGCAACCTCAAGTTTTACAGACTGATGCCCTACTTTTCATCTCCAGAACCCTCAATGCTCGTCTGTCATAGACTCCGCCTTTGCTTCTTAGCTTTTCAATCAATTCTCTCGGTTAGTCCTATTGGCCTTGTGCATCAACCCTCACTATTAGCTCAGTCGGTCTACCTCCTTCTTCCTTAAACGCCGTTCACTCTCTGTACCCCCGTTTTTCGTTGTCTATTGGCACGTCGGCGCTGTTAAAGTCAATATTTTCGTTCTATTGTAATTATTTCATTTAAGCTCCCCATTACCTTACTTAAGTTAGGCTGTCAGGTTGTTTTGATTCGTTCTGTCCGTTACCCTGTTAGTTGTACTGTGTGATTAACCTAGAACGGATCCAATGACATATACAACCTACCTTTTGCTCCCTTTAAAGCAATAAGATACCGGACAGTCGGCATGACCCGTGCTTTTGGTGTTTTACACCTTATGAATACACAGCAAAGGTTTTCATATACGTTTGTTTTCTGCTCCATTCCAAAAGCTTTGATACATACATTATGTAAATCTGCAAGGTGGTGCCACTGTAACGTTTTTAGAGAACACTATTATTGCTTCGCCATGATAAAAGCTCATTTTATATTTTAGCGTGAAATGAATTTTTTCAGACGTGTCTTTTTATTGAAACAATAAAATGCTTGGAATAAAAGTCTAGCTTACACATAAAGAATTACGAAAATTGTTGAATAACCAGCACTTACAGATTCTCATTAACTTAAGGGTATAAAATTCCTTATTAATGACATAGAAAGGTTTAAGCTTAAAATATCTTAACATTTTCTTTAACTGAACATCAAATATCAACTGTAAGCCGCTAAGTGATAACTTCTGAAGAAAAAATTTTCTAGTAAATTTTATTTTTAAAAAGTTGCGTAAACTAAGCGCACGCTGGTCACGGCTTTTGCCATAGTGTCCAACATAACCCCAAAGCTAGAAGCTCTGAAAAATTTTAGACCGAGCTTTGGCCCAAACAAATTAGGTAGTAGCTTCTCAAAAACCAAATGGTTAGGATCCTATAAGGGAATATACGCTTTTGCAGAACTTCGAACTCGCAAGCTAATGCACGTGTAAATAGCACTTCGTGATAAAAAAAATCTTTACTTACATTTGATACTGGCTCAAGAGCTCTTTATACATCATCCATGATGATCAAATCATAAACTTTCACTTTTAACGACAATCCAGGTATTTAGTCAACCAGGCGGCCACTGCGGTTACCAACATGTACTTCAGCGCACATTTCTGTAAATAGGACTATCCAATATCAAAATATTAACTCGTGCTGTGTAATATCAAGTAGGAAAGGGCGCAGAACTAAATAGCTTATGGGGGATTCAACCCAGGTACATTCATTTCATTATTCGTTAGCTCAGTAGTTGAGCATTCTAATCCCGTACCAAAAGATTAGTTCCACTAGTGCTGACATTGCCACTATGTGGTATTATCATTATGCATTTTGTGCTTTTGATATAATACGGTTCCACTCGCCCCTATCTTACGCTTGCACGTTCCTTTTCACCGAAACCATTCGTAGTAATGAGACAGATTCCTTACCATCTGTTGTACAAGAGGAATTCACTGGAATTCTGCGACTGATGAGGCAACCGCTACCGTGGTTTACTGACGACTATGCCTCTTAGCTATCCATATATTTATTCAGCAGGCGGCAGCAATAGCAACAACTACTACAAAAGAACAACGCCACCAACAATAGCAGCGACCCGTCGTGCTACCAGAAAATCCTATGCGAGAAACAAAACTTTTCACTCAGTGGCACTGCGCGTTGCCGCTGTGAATGTTCACTTTGCTTCTGTGAACCCGGCCTTAATCTAAGATGAGAAGACTCGAAAAGAAGACAATATGCAGATTTGTTCACCATGCTATTTTAACCGTCCTCGCAGCCACAAGGGCACGCGCACCCCCCACTGTTTCATGCCTGCAACCACCCTGTCTGGTAGCTGCTTACCGCACTCACATACCGCACTAAGAGTATGCAGATCTTAGTCTTTACTTTCGTCTATTTACGTTACATTGGCAAATCTGCTGTTATGATAGGCTTTAAGTAATGAGACGATTATTGCATAAGGTGAATTGTGTCAATAGACATTCTCTGTATATGTATATATATATTATAGAAGTTACAATGCTGAGGCTGTTATCATATTGGTGATAACATTTTTCAGAAATAAAAAATTTCACACACTAGTTTCACTGTCTATACATTTAGCTAAGTTGGTTATTGGGACCGTTAATTCCATGTAGGGTTTTCGACCGAACTGTCTGAGCCAGAACACTAAAATGCGATGACTCCAAAAGGTACACGCCTACTTTGTATCGGTTTGTCCTCGTCTAAAATAGTATAAAACACAAGCACCTCCTCTATTTACACAATGATAATGGTACCCAATTAGGATGGTCACACACCAGACGAAAGCATAGGGCCCATCGATAGTCAAGATCCATAATCAGATGTTCCTGATGTTGTTATGGTGATTGTCCTCGATGGAGGAGCACCACGTGCTTGCTTTCCTGTGTGAATTTGAGAACAACATTGGAAGCTCTTGATTCACTGGCAGTCCTTAGTAGAAAAAATAATTGTGACATGACTATGGCTGCAAAAACTTGACTGAACGATAGTAGATTCGAGTAATGGTTTAGTAATCGCGAGAAGCAAATCGCACGCTGCACGAATATAGTGTTCGAATTCAACATGGTTGCTCTTGGCATCAACTTCAGATTATTTGTGCTTCTTGTTATTCGCTACGCTACAGAAGGCCTTTTATATAAACTTTTTTAGTACACTTCTAACTAGAATATATCTGGCGTGTTTTGAGAAAGCCAAAATTCTGAGATTTTCTATTTAAGTCATCCCCACGAATTGATAAGATACGAAAAGTAACAGATACGTTTTTAAAAATTATCATTTAATCTGAATGATAAAAACTACATTCCTTTTCGCTTAGTTCAACGAAAGCGGGAGGTTATACTTTGATATGCTAACATAATAATCAATACGTTTGCAGAATTAAGCCCAAGAATCGGTTGTTACCAGTATCATTTGAAGTTAATTTATTATGAATGCTTCGTCTTAGTGATAGTGCCATGGCACCGTATTTGCCTACCAACCATGGGTTCGTTGAAGTGCAGTAGTCTAAATTAAAACCGGGCATAGACACACGCCGCTTCGTGGAGTACCAGTCTTCTGAAGCGCTACTTAACGAAAATCATCCGTCTTAATTTAGGTATTTTAATAGCTTTAACTTGATGAAAAAATATCAGTTGCGCGCCTTTTTACCGTAATGAAAGCTTTTTAATTAGCATTATATGTTAAGCATTATTATAAGTATTAGTGGAGCATAGTAAACTGTCGTAAGAAAACAGATGCCAAAACAATTCAGAGGGAAATGCTTATTCCTTTGGACAGGTTCTTGTTCACACTAACCGCGTATCCATGAATATCTTATTGGACTCTGTTATTCTGTTGATTTTAGTAACTTACTGTAACTTCTAAAATTTACATTGCTCTAACAGCGTATCGAGTAGGCCCCCAGATACATTCCATAAAATTATCTCTTAGTGATAATCTTACTAAATTTTGCGGCTTTTTATCAGACGAGTGCTGTGAATTAGACCTGACTAAAGTGAGTATCTCGACATTTGCATACATCTCATACTAGACAAAACTTTAGGCAAAAAAGTTCCTCATGCATTAGACATTGGCTGATAACTGTTATATCAAAAAATGAAGGAAGCTTCAAAATCAACATTTTGAAAAGGTAAGAGAAGGTGGCTATATGCGTCAGAGGTTCCTAAACGCTACCGTTAAAAAACTACTGCCGCGAAGGGAATAAAAATCACATTAGTATGTTTTTCAAAGACTTAGAGAAGTCCTATGGGTCTATAATAAGAAACAACTATTCTTTAATTTTCGAGAAGTAATCAATTTAAGACACATTCCTTGTATCTGAATTGCTTTATATATAAAGCTATATCAATGAAGAAATGAGTAAAATCGTCACACATATGTGTAAAGTTGCATTATGCTCTTTTCTATGCACCACCATAATTACAATGCACATTTTCCTCCTAACAAGTGTGAGGGAGCTTGGCATAGATGTTAGTCTTATTATGCACATGGAAACAAAACTCATGTGTTCTGCTTCAAATACAATATAATTAACTTTGGCTATTAGTACCCTTATCCTGCTCGGACGCTGTCCTTACAATACTGATACGCCACCACAATGATGACTCCGCGTATTTGTAGGTACCTCATGTTATTGAAATTCTGCAAGGACAAAGATTTTGGTTTTCCACTTTCAGTGAGGATTAATAGGACTGGCTTTATAGGCCGGTAGACAACTTATTGATATGCAAGCGTTTTCACTACCCCAAAGAAGAATTTTGAAATTCCTTTTTTGTAGTTCCTAAAGACCTATATTGCTCATGTGTTCCAGAAACTCAGCTATCATGTCCTCTAAATTGAGTTTCATCCAAATTTGCCTTGCACGCGTTCGTAAACTTGGCTTCTGATTACACCTTCAGTGCCGGTTATGGATGCACTTGTATTCAGTATTGGAGCGACACGGTAAATGGCTGTTTTGCGGACATATTGCGAAGCTTTGCTTGATATTTTGTAAGCTCTGTTGTTTTTACCACTTGCTTCAGTTAAGCGCTATTGTCCCAACTTGTTTTCTGAATGCATGCTCCAAAACGACTAGCTGCTCTAGTTCAATTAATATACATTTTCTACCACGGATAAATGTAATAAATACGATGTTTATTTATAGACGTTATGTTTACTTTTTGAAATAAATGCAGTAGGTTTTTTCACCTTCTTCTGAAGGAACAGGACATTATAATGATCTCTAAACTGTGGCTGTCAATCGCACTTGTCAGTTCATTGGAATTGGGCAATGAAGGCAAGCTCAGTCTTTTGTAGGGATAAATTTGCCGGGGACTATATCTCTTAGTTAAAACAATGTGCAGGTGTCTCCATATGGGCTAAAATAATCGTGTGCGATCATGTGCGGTCGTATCTAACTTTAAGGATAAAACTGGTCGTCAAACAACAGTATAAGAGACCAAGTATAAGCACCAAGCATAAGCAACCAAGTATAAGAGAGAACTCTACCTCCGAAGCCCGAAAAATACCGCTTTAATAATAAAAGTTCTTTCAACGTGCTGCTATGAATGCTAAGATTTATTAAATTCACTCGAAATCTAAATCGGGGCGAAGGCATAAGAAATAATAGCGAAGGCATGGTAGTAAGAAGACACAAGAATCTTGAAACAAATCAAACATGTTTTATTATCGAATATAACTAACACTTTACACCTACTTGCAAATAACTATTTTGCTATTTTATTCTAGGATGGAGTGTAACTCCATAGTCCACTTTTTCGACAGGGCTATTAATTATAGGAAGTTCCTACTTGTAGTTTATTTTATTATTTTCCTGCTTTTACTCTTAATGCTAGTTTCTTGGGTTGAACCAGGAAATGACTCAGATTATTTAATTAACGTTGCCTTTTGATCTGTGCTTTAAGAGGTCTCATATAATTGGTAATGCAGTGCTTGGACTCAAAATACTGCGTTTCATGGATGCAGTCTGGATTTTTTGAATGTCTAGATTTAATTTTTTCATGCTGTTGTATATACTGGCATTAACATAACTGAATGCGTTCAGTTGTGTAAGCGTTATTGATTTTTTTGTATGTGAGAAGGTGGGATCCACCATATTAGCGACCCAATCGAGAAACGGTCTCAAACCTAGTGCTTCTTCTAATATATCTCAACACTTTTAATTAAGCGTAATCAAGCAATTATTACATACTAAATCTATACATAAATCTACATAAGCATACTCGTTAGAATATTTACCTATTTTGTAAAGTATACTTCTATTATTTCTATTTTAATCAAGTACTTCGAAATTATAAATGCTGTCCTCGTAACGCTGATACAATACTACTACGTTGTCGTAAAGTAACCGGTCCTCAGTATACGTTCTTGAGTCTCTGGTAATATCAGCGCGATCCTAAAATACAGTGGCACGACAGTCTTCTTGAACCTTGTAATTTCTTACACATTATTGCATAAATCAACTCATATCTATGACTTATTTGTTAATATAATTATTTATTTGATATACGGCTTGAAGCCCATTTTCCTTATGATGGTGCAGCGGTAGCACGTTTGCTTACTTAAGAGGAGTGTAAAGTAATTTAGGATTGAAATCTAACGTAGACATTTCGTTTAGTGCTAGAAGGGGCCACTTGATGGTAGTACTTGATGGCAGTACCAAATGTAAAACATTTTCGGAAGTAAACCAAAACGTCTTTTCGCTTGCGAACTACGATTACTTTCTCTTTCTTTGGGTTTGTCAGGGATAATTAAAGTTGTTCCACGGCCATCAAATTCTTCATTATGATGGTATTTTTTCAACGATGCCAATCTTTCAATACCTAGAATATTTAAAATTTTCAATTAATCAGATCTAACTGCTTTATACTGAGTATATCTTAGATTCGTAAGCTATAGCTCTATATAGCGTTGAGTCACTAAAAACGGTCACGCTCTTAATTTCAATGCATGAGCATTTTGCTTACCCTTTTAGGTCTAAAACTAAACTTGCAGGGATAGCGGTATTGCCTTTACCAGCTGCAATACAGGGCAAAATAAGAATCGAGCCATGAGGCCAT